CCTATTGAAACCAACTCTACTCGATAAGTGAACTACCAACAAACAAATAAAAATGCAAAATCCTTCCTAAACGAACCGTACAGATACCAAATTTACATCAACATACATACAGTTCAAAACACTTTTTTTCAGTGTATGCACAAATCTTCTCAGTGAATGGTAATATTATCTCCCCATCAACCTATACATGGGTGGTGATTTTATTAGCTGCTATATGCTCATTAGGAGTGTTTTTCTGTTCATCAGGCTATGTAAGCAGCGGCATTCTTGAAATGAAATTCATTTGTCTTCTCTTTTAAAAATTGGTGTCTTACTTTTTGTGCTCGGCTTTGTCATCGGATCAGTTGTTTTTGCACTGTTGTCATCAGTAATCGACAGACGTGTATTATTCATTATTGCATACGGTGCCATGACTGTGTTTAATACTGGTGTTACCTAGTCGCAAAACATAGAGACTCTTCACATCATGAGATTTTTAGCTGAGACTTTTGGATCATCTCTATTGATGGATGTAAGCCAACTTCTGAAGTTAGTCTTTCATAATGCAATCACTAGGCGTCTCCTGCAGGCAGGTGGTATACTAGCCGATATATTTGTGGCAAATAAACTTGCTATTGTCATAGCACTGCTAGTTAAAGCTACTTTTATGGGTCAGTAAGAATTCTACTAATATCCTATCACTTTTCGTACTTTCGTCTTAGATTTTGTCCTTGGATCGATTGTTATTGGCTTCGTTGGGGACAACAGCGGCGGATGGAGATGGTTTCAAGAGATAATGACCATCCTAACAGGTATCATCTTCATCGTTGACGTTCTCTTCTATCCAGAAATATATGCACCCGTCCTGATACGAAAGCTGGTCAAAAAATTGTCTATTGCAACTGATGGCGCAATCTACCAATCAAAGTTTGAAACTCAAATGACAGTACCATTCATGGAACACCTTAAAACGTCTCCGTCCCATTCCTAGATGTTCCTTTTTCGTCAGCCTATTGTTCTTGCCGTCTGCAACTTTGCTGTCGGTATGATCGTTACCATCATCTAGATTATTCTAGAGAATAACAGATACACTACGATAATTGCATAGCTGTCCGGTTTTTCCATTGATCTTTTGGAAACATGGTGCAATAATCAGACAAATATCCAATTTTGCGATAAAGTCTCAAACTTTCCTTGATAAGCTGGGTGCTAAACCAGAGGAGAACGAACAAATACAGCTGCAGTGCTGTAAATTGTTTTATCTGAGATGCTGGCGTAAATTAAGAGAATGACAAAGTCATTTACGTCACAGATAAACATTCCCAAAAAAATCACAACTAGCCATATGCCACAAGATCACTGTTATCTTATTTAATTTGCCTCAAGTTAGCATTAAGATTTTTCTGTAAACCCTTCTCAACGACCATTGTCAGTTTCGTGAAGGAAACGAATGTTAGGGTATTTTCCAGTTTATTACTTATACTCCTTCTTCCTTCTTTTCCCAAAAAAAACAAAAAAAGCACAAAGATATGTATTTCTCTCTCTCTTTCTCCAGTCGATCCGCCTCTTCAATCTGATAGAGGGTTACAGCTGATGATAAACGTAGGTAAAGTACAATGAAGAGGAAAATGTTTATGATACTATCGGATTGATTGGTATGTGTAACAATGATGTAGACTCATGGCGGAGTGATAGAAATGGCAAGTTGTTTTCTTGTAATGATTCGCTGACTAATTGATTTGGCAGGTGCGCATATGGTGGTTGACCATGGCAGACAAACTTTAATATCAGTCAGCAGCACCGATGAGCATAGAAAATAATAATAATAAAAATTACACTGGGCTAAGATCAGCTGTATCAGTGAAGCATAAATGGGTCCAATTGATAAAAATTAATGTTTTGTGTTCACCAAGAAGTTGGTTTAGCTTGTTATATCTTGAGTTCACTGGGCTATCTTTATTTAAGTAAAAACACAATTCTTCATAACAATAAACAAAAGGAGCAAGAACAAACAAGCGAGTGTTGACCTCCATCATATAGATAAAGATGTCAGACCTAACACAGCTCATTATGATTATTATCGTATTTTTTTTTCAAATTGAACATTAATCTTATCAGTAAACGGGCAAGCGGTGATACATGATACTATGATGAATATGGAGGGAAAATGTGAACCTGCCATAACGAATGTGTTGTATTTGAAGATGATGTAATGTAATAGTGAACCAAGACGATGAATATTTGAATAATAAAACTGTTTAAAAAAACACAGATGAAGCGTTACTGCGATATGACATAGTGAATAAATGTTGAAATAAACAAGATAAGAGAATATAAAATGTATCAGGCAATGAATGATTAACGAAAATATACTCGTTTGATTTTACTTGAATGTACCTGAAATTGTTGACTTTTCATTCTTGTGCAAATAAATCAGTACAGTCTCGGTACTTCATCGTAAAAGAAAAATTACTCATATAATCATGTTCAAAGAACTGCTTTTTTTCACTGCTTCGTTTTATAAATTCTCACTGCACATACCATATATTCATATAAATGCTACAAATGATTATCAGATCTTTTAAAAGAAGTAATTATTTCTGTATATGCTATCGTGTTTGATAGCAGAGTTTCATCCGTGAGTGAACAAATCTTGAAGAAAAAGACTAAGCGATATGGAAATAGTTGACTGCAAGACTTGATGAGACTTTAGAAAACTATAAAACTACAGTTCAAACATTTCAAAATATTTATTAAAACTGTAAAAGACTTGAGATGATTTCATAAAACGTCAAAGCTGACTTCTATCTGATTTTTTTCTCCATCCTTATGTAATAGAAAATTTTGGGGCTAGTGGAAAAGAGAGAATATGATGGACAAAATGAAAAATGAACAAAAACATCCGATGATTGAAAAGATGTCGTTACAAAATTCAATAATTTCTCTTCGTATTGGTCACTCATCGAATGGCAAATGTTTTCCCCCAATAAATCGAATAACGGTAATTCATTAATAATATGTGATAATTATTTATTTCGATGTAATAAAACAACAATCTCGAAAAAATATTGGATTTGTAGGGGAACAGGTTGCTATGCATATATATATATATATATGTATACAAATGTTAACAAGGGAGTTGATCTCGATATGTAGTAATCATAATCATTCTGCAAGTCCGGATCAACTAGAAGCAAAACTTTTACGAGACAAAATGAAAAAACGAATATTAGCTGAAACAACACCCATAACAAAAATATATGACGAGAAAATTGTGAAGACGAAACTTTCAAAAGTAGCAGCAATTTTACCAGCTGTTATTGAATATCGTATGTACCCCACTGGCACATTAGTAAAATAATTTATTTGAGAAATGTTTGTTTTTAATATTAAGGATCTAATATGAGCAAAGTTTGTCGAAAAATTAAGCGTTATATTCGATATTCCTGAATCATATCAACAAACACTTTCAAATGAGCAATTTTTATTGGTTGGTTTATCACTATTAATTGAAAACAAAAAAAATAACATTTTCCTAAATACACTATCATAGTCTTCTTATTTTTCGCTCTTTTCCACCAAGACTAAAATTTGCATTTGCATTAAAAAAAATAGTATCATTCATTTTTTAGTACAATAGCGATCAATTGAAGCAGTTCATAAAGCATCATCAAATGTGTTAAAACGCAAGTTATCTTATTTATTACCAATAATTAGTGTTTTTTTTTGTAGCAATATCAATCGAGAATATTGGGGCATCTAATACTACAGCAAGTGATCAACAAGTGTCGCATACCATGCTGTCAAAATTTGAACAAGATGTCAATCGCCTTCGATCGATTATAAATTCTGATTGTTCTTTAAATTTTCTCCTGTTAATTGAATTTATTTACCTACCGTTTACATTTCTTTTGTAGCTTATTTATGAATATTCATCAAATATTGGCATTATGTATGATCACGTACATGATTGCCAATCATCAGCCTACCCACAAACTATTCGTTATGGTCATCGAAGCAAAAAAACATGTAATAGTATAGCTCTCTAAGTAAACTTAAAGATTTTTTGTATTATTTTTCTCTTTTGAAATATTTTTTTAAAGCTTAAGTCGATTTATAAAATACATATGAAACTGATGAACTTATTTTATTTTTCATTTATTATTGGTGTACTATTTTCTTCTTTATTTCGTTTCTAGATAACATGTACATTGTCGACAAAACTTCGATGGAAAAAAATAATCATAAAAATAATATGTATTAATTTGCTTTTCAATCGTCACTTAAGAAGTTTTTTCGTAGTAGTTGTTTCAGATATATCAGCTAACCTATCACTTACTGATCCAGGAATGGATATACGCGCCAATACGAGCACTAATAACAAAGTGAAATATTTCAATAAAATTATTTATGATCTCTCTATGAGCTGTAAAAATATGTGCGATATAAGAGTATGAGGGCGTATTGATACGCATAATATCGAATGTCTGTATGTCTGTTCCTAAATGAAAAGTTAAACGTATTAGGTCGTAGGTTAAAAGAGAAAATAGCCGTGCATGTTACACGGACTCCCGCTAATATTAAGAATAGTGTACACCATCCAACTTTGATCTTTTTTTCTGAACTGATTGAAGAATAAAGCAACTAATTAAAAATTCATGGATTGATACTATATCGAATATCTTCAACTTGACATAATTTCTTCTCGAATAAAATGAACTTAACAAGTCATTACCACTATTAGATAGAGATAACGAAGTGTTTCTCTGAAGTGTTATTCGAATAACCTGAGCTTATGAATTGTAACTGTTTTCTCATTCAACTTATTCAGTTCAAGATGTAAAATTATTGTTTTCAATTTTGTTTTACTTTCTAGTTGCCAGAGAAAATACACTGAGTTACAATCGAATGGGAGTGCATAGCAACATCAACAACAGACACTTGCTCTCTTAAAGAGCAGAATACATTTATTCAATCATTTTCTCACATTGGCAGCAGTCTTCTACGTTCTCATAAAAGAAATGGCATCACATTTTCAACAAAGAACAGTACGTGCAGGATGTGGTTCTAATCCAAATAATGCTGGTGAAATATTGAGTGTAAGAAATGATCACAATCGTGGCGATCTCTCAGAACTTGTTGCCTTAGTCGGACACGGTGCCAGCGGACGAGGTTCAAGTAGGCAAACCGCTCATGGTGTTGGTCAAGCAAACAGTGTTGCAGCAAGCAAGATGTCGTCGCGATTGGGAATAGGCCATTAGGAGAACGACAATCTATG